AACCAACTTTTAATGGCTTGCCGGTTACAAAACATTATTTTTGGCATGATCAACAAATAAATAGTTTTATTATACAAAAAAATAACATAATAAGCTTTTCGAGCATTGGACTATAATAGATAGAGTTTTTTTAGGGTTTTTCAATGACATAAACAAGAAAATTGTACTTCTATAAACTTGTATCCATAAGAAAAATATTGGTATGCGGGTAGATACCTAAGTTATGATGTTTTGGTTGACAAGCTAACTAAAAATATGCTAGCTTATGAATTAATAGTATTTTGTAAAAAGTCGCTTGTAAAGTATACTACAATTTAAAGTTAATAAATGGACATTGAGATATATAATTATATAAAAAAAAAAAAAAGAATAGATATAACTTTACAAGATTATTAAAAAGTACTTCAGAGTAATTTATCAAAGGTTCTAAAAAGCTTGTCATGACTTCGCAATGACTCGTCATGGCTCAAATCTTTGTAGTTGACGTCAAGTTTTAACAAAATGTCATCTTAAATCATATATGTATATAAAAAATGAATTAATCGTAAAAAAATATATAAAAAATTATTAATTTTATATAAAATTACCGCCTTAAGTCATGTGTTACCAACAACGTAGCTTGTCACGGCTTGTAAAAGCTTGAGGTTTGACATTACTGTCAACTTATATCTTACATTGTTTAGAACCTTGAGTTTATCTAACTTATAAACTATTTTATAACTTATAAGAAATTATTTTTATAGTTGTACTAAACAATAAAAACAATAAATTACTTGCTTGTTTATTTTTAGAAAACCTTAATCTGAAACTTATTCATATGCAAACAAAAACTCTAGCATGAGCATCTTAAATATTGGAATTTAAATTCTCCGGCTAAATCTATGCGATTTAAAGACAAAATTGCAAAAATGGTCCTTGTGGTATGCATTTTTTTAGGTTTTTGGTCCAAACCATGGGTTTTTTGGATTCGTGGTCCTTTTGGACTAGTTTCATTGTAAAATTGGTCCCCGATAAACTTGAAAAGACGACTTTGCCCTTTTAATTTGTTTTTTCCATTTACTTAATTATTTTTTTATTTTATTTAAATATAAATGTTAAATCAAATCAAGAACTCTCTCTCTCTTTCTCTCCCTCACTCTCTCTGAAAAAAACCCACTTGCCCCCACCCGTTCTTCTTCTTCTTCCTTACCAGCACCACCATTCTTGAACATTCTATATGTTTCTTTCTTACCTGCACCACCATTCTCCAACTCGTGATTTACAGACTCGTCTTCAACACACAAGAAAAAAAATCGAGACCTTCGTCTCTCGATTCGACTGGTGAAACAGATTAAGGGGAAACGACCAATCTACACAGAATGAGGGGATGGATGGCTTACCAGCAACGGCAGCAGCAGCAGACGGTGGTGGCTGCAGGATGTTGGTGGCAGCAGTAGCGAATGACAGCGATTTGCGGTGGCGTGTGGTAGGGGGCTGCTTTGACGGCCTTCTGTCGCTTCGCATCTGTTTGAATTAGATGGAGACATGAGTGGACGAGGAGGGGGAACTCGGTGGTGGTCGAAATCAATAGTGGTGGTTGTTGTGGGTGGTTTTCTCGCCGATGAAGATGGTGGATGGCGGTTTCCGACCTTCCTTGCAACATAAATGGTGGTGGTTGTTGATTATCTGAACAGGAGGAGGGGTGGACTTTGTAGAGAGAGAGAGAGAGAGAGAGAGAGGAGAGAGAGAGAGAGGTGGGCCCTCTCATTTTTTAATAATTAAATTAATAATTAAAATGAATAAATAATTATTAAATTAAAAAAAATGAATTTAAAAAATGAAAATAAATACCCCAAGGGTATTACAGTCATTTCACTATTCAGAGGGACCAAAAACGCAACGAAACTAGCTCAAAAGGACCACCAATCCAAAAAAATCGTGGTTTGGACTAAAACCCCAAAAAAATACATACCACAGGGATCATTTTTGCAGTTTTGTCCGATTTAAATATAGTGGTATGTATTTAAATTGAAAAAAATGCAATTTATTCATATAATATAATAATAATAAGACATAATAATACAAAAGAGAAAAACCTTTCAAAATCACCGAAAGTTTTTGGCGCCACCTGTTAGGCATGGAGATGAAGATGGTTTCCAATTTTCAAAATGCTTTGTCGGCTTCTTCTCCTCCTATTTTGAATTGTTTACTCTATAATATATAGTACTATATTTTGTTTATTCAAAAAAAAAAAAAAATTAAAAACCATGCAATATAGTTTTACCAAGTTTAGGTTTAGGGTTATTGTTCGAAAGTTATACTTTTAGTTTATGGAAAAGTTACAATTTTTTTTTTAAACAGAAAAATTATGATATCTAATTTTACATAATAATCTATCATTTTCTATTAAAAAATGATTTTTCTGTTAATTTGGACAAAATTTAAATAAGAGAATTTTCAGTTCAAAAAATAGAAGTTAAGACTCTTTTATAAATTATGACAAAATAATAAGATTTTTCTAACAATAATCCTTAAGTTTATATATAATTTGGAAGAAAAGTTTAATTAGTAAACTATAAAATTGCTTTATTAATATTTTGTAGATATTGTTAATAAGTATATACACACATTGACATCGGATTCTTATAAAAAAAGTGTTTTGAAAATAACATAGAATGAATAATGTTTTATTCTTTTTGAAGTAGAGAGAATAATGCTTAGTGTAAAAAATGCTTTATATAAAAAGTTATCAAAAATAAATATTGTATGAATTAATAAGAAGTCTACTTCATAATTACATATGCATTCAATTCTTTAGTATTTGATTTTAACATTTAAAACCTATATAGTCATAACAATATGAATAAATAAATAACGTAAGTAAGTGAAAATGAAAGATATCAGTAATCTAAAACAATGTAGGCCTCAATATTAGTCAACTAGTTGAATTATAAGTAGAATATGTGCTATTTTGATCATTTCCCCCCAATTTTTTCCAATTCAAATTTAAATTCTGTTTGGTAGAAAAAATAAATATGAGGTTAAAAAATAGTCCACATCTGTTTGTCTAACATGATAAACAATTTTATATTGTTTAAATTATTTAACAATATGGCGAAAATATATTTTTTTATCCAAAATAAAAGTATAAAACTATTGCATCTCTATTCTCTATTCTATGCTACTCTCAAAAAGTAAAACTATTGCATCTTATCATATATATTTCAATCAAATATATTTGATTAATCCAATATCTAAAATATGATCTTTAAATAATATCGAAAAGTTTCCTAGACGAAATCTAGGGTGACAGTCCATGGCAATGATGGCACGCATGATAGAACTACATTACATGAAACAAAATTTGGACAAAATCAAATTTTGAATTTTTGGTCGTGTTAAGTGTAAAAAATATGACATTATGTTGTGTTCAAAATTTCACATAATGTTAACATGTGTATGTCGTGTTTTGTAAGATTAATTATGAATTAAATAAACTAAGAATTTATTTTATTTTATCTTTTTCGTATTGATCGTTTTTATCGTGTTTTAATTAAGTTGTTACTGTATTAGTAAAATAAAATGTGAAGATGTATGTTTTAGCTAAAACCAATAAAACTATTTGATTTGTCACCGCTAACAAAATCAAATGTACAGATTTCAAATGGAATATATATATATATATATATATATATATATATATATATATATATATATATATATATATATATATATATATATATATATATATAAAAGTTTAAAAGCTTAAAAATGATATTTAATTGGAGTAATTATAAAAAAGTTAGGATAGTCACAAAAATGATAATATGATTTTGGGGAACATAGGGATATGACCTATTTTTTTCTAGAAAATTGATGACTCACCAAAAGCCGAAATTAATTTTGTTCTAAATCAATTTTGTTTTACATTAACTTTTTGTTTAAATTAAATATATTTATAATAAAATTAAATATTTTGGATTTCGAACTACCTTGCGGACAAAGTAAAAAAAAAAAAATGTATTTTGAAATTTCAAAAACATGCCAATCCGCATAATATATCGGAAATTTCTAAATTTTTTTTATTGAAATCTAAAAAGAAATCCATATCAAATCGAAATAGATTACGATGCGATGACATAAAAAGTGTTATTTTGTTGATAAATTAGATGTAAGACCTATGTATTATACGGGTTAATTAAAAAAAATAAATATAAAAATTTAAATATTTAAGAACTTTAGATTTATAAGAAAATAAAAAAAATGAATTATAAAAATTGATTTTCTTATCTTATAAATTTAAATAAATAAACAAAATAAACTATGGAAGAATTTTGAAATAAGAAGGTAAATCTATTAATGAAATCGATATTTATTTATTACTATATTTATTATAATTATTACATTAAAATATTATGTAAAATTTATTAAAATAGAAAAACTCATAAAATGACGTATGGAAAAGAAATTAATTCAAAATAACCACAAAATGATATTTGACAAATTGAATGAGAGTGTAACATGTGACAAAAAAAACTTCATTTATTAGAGTAGATGACGATGATGTTCGTTTCATATTTAAAAGGTAAAGAAATTTTTTGATAAATATTTATGGCAGATTAAAGAAAAATACTCGTATAAGAACTACGATCATTTATGTTAATGCTCCATTGTAATGTGGTATGTTTTGTGATTATCCAAAGAAAGTAATATCTTTTTTTTCAGAAAGCGACTATTCTAAAATGACAAAAGTGGAAATAAATTTTCATATCAAACAATTTTTTCTTCTTGGACTACTATCCAAAATGACAAAAATGGAAAAAAAAAGCACGTGTCTAGTCACCAGATATTAGATAACCAGTTGTTTCAATCATATCAACAACGAATTTAGGTAAAAAGGAATAATTAATTAATTAATCAAATTCATATTCAAATCCAAAAGATTTGAAATTTTTATAACATGGGTTTTGATTAATTCCTCATAAACAAAAACTAGAAAAACTAAAAATCGATTCTTTTCATCAAGAACACATTCTCATCTCCAACACTTTCTTGTGAGAATTCGAGTGTTTATAACTCACAAAACTCGGACTCTTTGCTGGTCTATATTCGGGCAGCAGCCTGCCCGACTTGTACCTTACCCCACATGCATTACACAGTGTCTTTGGCCCTTCTGGTCCTGCCCGCCACTGTGGGGTTCTTTGCGAAAGACAATGCCTACATCTCCTCCCCTGCCCGCCACTGCTGCCCTCTTCCTCCTCATGCTTCGTCTCCTTGTACCTTCCCTGCCCGTAATCTTCACTTCTTGTGCTGTTATCACTTGTACCTTTGTTGGGTAAAATCAGCTCGCTGTCTGCTAACCAATAAGCTTGATGGAGCAAAGGAGGATCTGTGTTCATGGGGTACTCTTCTTGAGACATGCATAATCGACTTGTACTTTTTCTATTTCTTTTGCTTCTTGCTTTGCATGGTACAACGAGTTTATGCATGGAAAGATAGTTTCCCGAATGGGGTTTCATTTTCATTTTCATTTTCATTTTCATTTTCACCTCGGTTTCTGCTGTTGTTGTGTTTGTAACTTGTGCATTGGAAGTTGTACTTTGTGGGTTTATTGGCATACAGCTTCCACTGCTTGACAAACATTCCTCCACAAAAATTGACAGCCACTCCGTGTTGATATCCCCTTCTTCCTGCAAAATCTTCCAAATTAGAATAATTTCAAACAAGACTTGTACATCGTGCATCAAAGCTTGTATCTTGCTATGAATTTAACTATTAAAAAAAAAAGGTTTCGGTTTTTGTCGAAAAGTTGTACTTAAATGTACAAGCAAATGAAGCTATGAACACACAGAGGTAATAAGGAATATGGTACCATGGAGTGACCGGAGAAGAGGTCGTCGAGGCTGCCAAGTTTGGAGCATGATGGAGATAGAAGCTGTTGCTCCGGCTGATAATTGGCCGGAATCCCACCTGAAACAGAGATATTCCGGCAGATGTTCATACTCTCTTTCCTTAAAAAGAAAGAAGAAGACGAGAGAACGATTTTTGTTGGAATAAAGCAAGGTTTTGCAACAAGGCTTTTTATTTATTCAGAGTATAAGTACAAATTTGGTCCCTAGACTATCAACTAACGTGCTGTTTTGGTCCGCTAAGAGTTTTTTTTTAAATTTATTATTATTATTATTATTTATTTTACTATTATAATTAGACTAAATTACTGATTCTGTTATGTGGTTTGATCCAATCTGCATGTTTGGTCCAACGTTGAGAAAAATGATATGAATGGTCCCGCTATTTTCCAAATCTTGCACCAATCCCTCATTGAGTTTGTTAACGTTTATTTTTCACATGTGCAACTCACATGAGAACAAAAATGACATTTCTTTTGGTACTTGCTACACCCAATAAGAAAACCACGTTAATATTCTTCAAAGGGTTAATGATATAGAAAGATAACCGAAATTTGATCTTTATTATCCACATTTAGGTAATTATGTTTTTTTTTTTTCCGTTCATATTTGACCATTGAACAAGTCAAATAAGTTTATTAATCAAATGTGTACGAAAAAAGCATGGTTACCTAAATATGGACAAAAAACCCTACTATGAACAAGTCAAACAAGTTTATTAGTCAAATGTGTACGGAAAAAAACATGGTTACCTAAATATGGACAAAAACCAAAGTTTCTTACCTGTTTTGGTAATATTGGACAAAAATCGTCTCTGAGACTATGCCCTGGGATCAGTCTCCGACAGTCAATGAACAATTATGTTAGACTTTGTTTAACCCAGTTCAATCATGACTAGTCATGGGCTAGACTATGTTGCTAGATCTTTAAATCACATACAACCTAGCCCCTTAAGTATATACAACCTAACCCTTAACTAGTTGGCTTAAACTAGTTAGCCCAAGACTTGACCGTTTCCTCATACATAATGATCAGACAACCCAATTTCATGTCACATCAATGGATCTTATGACTACTTGTACTTAACATAAATAACCTAATATTACCAAAATGGGTAATGAACTTTGGTTTTTGTCCATATTTAGATAACCATGTTTTTTTGTACACATTTGACCATTAAACTTATTTGACCTGTTCATAATAGGGTAATGTTACCGCTAATTACTAGTTATATTACCTTATTTTAAACATGTCAAACAAGTTCAATGGTCAAATATGTACGAAAAAAACATGGTTACCTTAATGTGAACAAAAACCAAAATTCGTTACATTTCTAGTTCATTAAACCTTCTCTAAAGTTCCCCATCTGATCTTCTACCCTAGGTTAAAGATTGATATCATAATATTATGAAAAGAAAAATCAAGTTAATTAAGATGTTGCGACTCACAATGTATAGTATTCACACCTTGGAAACTGTTGTGGATATAAAAAAAGTATATAGTAAGTTTATCAATGTAATCTTTAATCCTAAATCTTTCATTAGAATAGTTGTTTTGTTAACAAAGATTTGTTTTATTTACAAAGTTTCTTCCTAATATGTTCTCAATTAGAATCAATCATAGTTGATTTTGTTGAAATAACCTATTAAGTGTGGTCTTATCGCTATTTTATTATAACAATCATATGTCGGGTACAATTATATTATATACTATAATATTTGACATTATGACGTATTATGTTCTTAGACTTTAAATCTACTATAATAAATGAAGGTTTTTTTTTGCCACATGTCTTCTTCTCTTTCATTTGGACACTTGGTATTTTCTAAAAATTTTAAATTTTCTATTTTCCACTTGTCATTTTATTGTATTTTTCATTTTATTAAATTAAAATTCCACATTTAATGTGTAATGTAATATATATGTAAAGTATTTATTAGAAAGAGTTTATATATGTAATGTATTCAATACATTAAAGTTTCAATAATTTTAATAATTCAATTTTTTTTTTCATTTTTCTTATAAATTCAAATTTTTCAAATTGTTAAAATTTCATATATATTTTTAATTAAACCCATGTAATACATGGGTCTCATACCTAGTTATATAGTAGATGGATATGACATATGTTTGAAAATTAAAAAGGCTAAACTTAATGGTTCCTTAACTTACTGTATTACCTTAATCCAGAAACTGTTAATGGGCTAACTAAGGAAAGAAATATCTAAAAATATCATGGGCTTTTACTTCCCTTTAATTATGCATTTATGCACAAACAGGGGAAACGATTTACATACGCGTACGTTTAAAAATTATTGGATGGTTTTTATTTTATTGAAGGTTCATTTGTAATGAGTTTGCCAGTTTGGAAACTTCAATTCGTTTATAATTTAACTAGGTTAAAACCCGTGGAAACCACAGGTAAAAAAAAAAAACACTGTTGATAATTTAAAATGATAATAAAAAATAAAAAAATTTATAAAAAATTATTAAATTACAAAGAGAGAAGTTTTGTCTATAATTTTATAATGATTAGTTAAAATTAATATATACATTATTGTAAATTCGGATATATGTTTTGTATGTATAGACATTTGATAAAATCATGATTTTATACAATACAATATAATTTTAAATAGAGTAAAAAAAAACAACATAAATAATGATAATGATATTGTTATATGGTATTTTTCTTTTTATCTAAATATAATTTCCTTAATTTTCTTATTTCTCTATTTTAAGTGTAGTAGATGTTCTTATTTGTATTTGCATAAACAAAAATATTGTATATTGTTTCAAATAATATAATAGTGACAAAACTGCAAAATTAGTCCTTGTGGTATTCAAAAAACTTTGGATAGGATCCAAAAAGTTTTCAACTTGTATGGATGGTCCAAAATCAAAGTTTTTCTGGGTTTTTGGTCCTTGATACACTTGAAAAGTCGATTTTACCCTTTTCATTTCTTTTTTCTATTTTCTTTATTTATTTTGGTATTTAAAAAATAAAATATAAAGTCTCTCTCTCATCAAACTCAACACTTTAGCTTTGCGAATCTGCATCTCAAATCAAATACAAAATCCTTTCTGTGTTTAAAAAATTTACTCATCGCAACACCAAATTCTTTTGACCAAGAGCCGATAATCATCACTCCATGTGAAGCTGCAATTGATAACTTGATGAATCCATCTCCTCCATTAATTAATCCATGTAACAAACACAAAATTAAAACACAGAAATTGAAAACATTAAAACCTGCAAGTCAAGAACAATCACTCACAAATTTATCTCCTCCTCTAACGAATCCATCCCCTTTGTTTTCTACAATTACATATATGAAATTGAACATGATTTACACCTGTGTTTTGTGTTTTTGTTCATTGAATCAAAATTGAAACCGAAGAAAATAAAAACACAGTGAAAAATAGAAATCGAAACACACATGCACAACCAAAATCAAAATCAAATTCAAACCTTTAACTTCCTCATCGAAATCATTTGTACCATAAGAATATGAAGATTGTTTAAAAACACGGATATTCTAACCCTAGTTTTGTACCATCGACATAATCAAGCCATAGATAATTAGGCAATCGTAATTAGTGACTAAAATCAGACAACAACCAATAAAAATCAGCAATTGATATTGAAGGATGCTTCATTGTTTGATGAGTGGAATCGCAGATCTAGAGGAAAACGAAGACATAGGATCTTCGTCGCTTTTAGTGGCAAGTGGAATTAGCGAGCAGCAAGGTAACTTCTTCCAACAATTAAGCAACGTCGGAGGTGGAGGTTGGCCACCGGAAAAGATGAAGGAGAGGCTAGTGAAGATGGAGGACTGTGGTGAGTAATTTAGGATAAGGTGGTTCGTGACGTTTGGGATGAGAGAGTATGGAGGAGTGTGGTGGTAGTGGTGAGCCTTTCTCAAACGCACAAATTTCGATCATATCTTCACCAGAGCTCAATCCACCATTTTCGTTTATGCTATGCTAATCTTCATCACTTTTTTCTTCTTCACTTTCTCACCTTTCTTTCCCAACAACGTTTTCGTCTCCTCTTATAATCTTCACCAATATCGTCAGTACATCTCTCAGAGTCACCCTAAGTTTAACGAAAATGAGATTCAAAATTACCAGACACTGTGGTTTAGATTGATGAAAATGAGAGAAGAAAGTAGATGAGGAAAATAGGAAGCGGATGAATAGGAGAGAGAGTTAAAGATAGAGAAAAAAAAGTCAAAGAGATAGAGAGAGAGAAAGAAGGGTGTAGGGTGTAGGGTATGAGATTTTTTTATAACTATTAAAATATAAAAATAAATAAAGAAAATTTAAAAAATTAATAATAAAGGCAAAATAATCCTTTCAACTTTTTTAGGACCAAAAACCTAAAAAAACTTTGATTTTGGACCTTCCATGCAAGTTGGAAACTTTTTGAACCCTATCCAAAAATTTTCGAATACCACATGAACCAATTTTGCAGTTTTGTCTATAATAGTCCATGTTGATGCAAAGGTATAAAAGTGGAGGCACATGCCCCCGATGACTAATTTCTTTTTTTACATATAAGGCCCTTAATTTTTTTTTTTTACAGATAAGGCCCTTTAACATTTTAATGAGAGACCTAACTCTCAGACATGAAAATGAAAGTAACGTTCTAGTTTGATCTTTGTGGTGAAAGTAGCATCATTTGTTCTATAAAAATAAGAGTAACAATGTATAAAACTAACATAATTTATTAGACATCACGTTATTAAAATACTATTACTTAATGGTTTTTTGTTCTCCTACACAACCAATCTATTATTCTAATAGTAAAAAAGCTTTATTTTAATTAAATTACTATAAATGATACAATTTCCATGTACAATAATTTATGATATTATAATAAACAAAATAACAAAAATATGTTATTAGTTATATTTTACGTGAATTTGAAAACCCAACCATATGGCTATGTTGGGTGCAATGTCTAAAATGTTCTTTAAGCATGAGATTATAATTTTATCACAACTTAATGAATTAAATACTAAACATTTCTAATAAATAAAGGTGTTTAACATTTTGATAAACATTATGCTTTAACGATCCATTTAATCAAATTTATTTTTATCAAAGTGGTTATATTTATTAGACTTGTTAAAGATATAATATAATGTGGAATTATCCAATTATAAATAAAAATAAAAAATTTCATTTGTAGTATTATACATTTTTATCTAAAGTTGATTTGGTGCTAAACATTAGAAAACAAACTCATTTTCTTTTTTCTACCAATTTGTTGAAATATAATAAAAAAATATATATATTGGTGACACGAAAGAAGAGGATTTGGATCTTAATGTTATCTTTGTTGTACCATCACGTAATTACACCGAATGGGTGGCAGTGGATTCGCATGTCTACATTGATATTGTTTTCTCTCATTTCTCAGTTAGGACATTAATGACAGTAACTTGATATCCTTGATTATGTAATTTTAAAACAAATTAGAACTTGCACCACAAAAAAATGAGATTAGCAAAGAGTGGAAAGCCAAGTGAAGATGGTGAAAGTAATAAATGGAGAGAATGATAAGCTTTGATTCCTTCAATAAATATAAATGTACTTTCAACATTTTACACATAGTAGCAATATACTCATATTGTTTTTTAAGCACAATAACATTATACTTTCAAAAATGGTTTAATAAGAAAAAAAGTATTAACAAATATGAAAATTAAGAAAAGCATTTATGAATTAAAAATCAAAGTAAGATGTTATATTAGATAATAAAATGAAAGTACATTGCTGTTTCTCGCATTTAGCTCTAAGAAAAAACAATATTCTTTCATTTCGTTGTCAAATATAGCATCTTACTTTAATCTCATACTCCTAATTTAATGATTTTTAATTTCAAATAATGTCTAATATAGCAATGTATTGTGCTAGAATTAGTTATGTTGCTATTAATTGATTGTACTTTGAAAGTACAATGTTAGAATCAGCTAAACTTTTCAAAGTATAATATAGCAATGTATTGGTGATAACAACCTTGTATGTGCTTTAAATTTAGTCCAAAGGGAAATGGTACTTTTAAAAAGTTGACAACTAAGTAGTTAAATTTAATAAGTGAAATCCCCTCAAGCATGCCACATGGAAGCTATACTAACAAATATAATTAGTTTATTTGATATTAATGCAAGAAAAAGACTAATGTGACTTTACATGCATAAGAGACAACAATGGGGAATGGAATAACTTCTACTCACTACTCATACAACAATATGATTATTATGTATAAGTTTTAACTTATTACCTCTAAATCATCATGAAATCTAGAGTCTAGAGTACTAATCCACCTGCACCACTTAAACAGACATCAAGGTACCTGTTATCCAAGGATAACAAGTATCGGTCAATAATTATATACTGCATTGAGGATGAACATGGGGACCCTGAGGTTGGAACCTATGTTAAGGGAAAAAGATTAAAAAATATATTTCAAAAAGATGATAGTTTATACTAATTTATCAAGCAAATTAGAAAGAATTCTTACAAAAGTCAGAAACCTTTAATTACAAAAACAATGTACTTACTTGATGCATCACGAATGACTCTCTACAAATGGAGATATCAAACATAGCACTGGAAAATTCTTTGGAAATAACAATTGTTTTTCATGTATTTTCATCAGGTTAACAGCCATTTATCAAGAACTTCTAAATCCTTCACACCATCCTGAAAAACATCAGATTCATCAGCCGTTTCATCTGCACCAAAGTTTTTTCTCTATCCTCGTCACCATACTCTAATTTATATGGTTCTACCTAATCATTTTCGTCAAGATAAGCTTCAAGTGGCTAACTTGTCGAGTTTTACCTTCTCTTGGCAATGCACCCAATATCAAGAGATTTGAGAAAACACAACAACCTATCTCGAACCCAAATGAGAAGAAACAAATCAAACCTCGAAAATGAAATAAAAAATATATATATAAGAAAACAAAAACAAAATAATCAATGGGACTCACAAAAAAACTCATAGGCTTCATTATTAAAAGAAATTGATGAAACAAAGCCCAAAACCTTGGTGTTTTATGTCAAAGAAATCTGCATCAAACACAAATTTACATGGTTTTATCTTCGATTCAGTTAACATGAGGATGCTATGAGAATTGAAGCTAAACTAACCTCCCTGTTTTCATCAAGGGTCTATCTGGATAAGCAACAGCTTTGATATATTAACCCTTAACTTGTGGATGGTGGTTGTGACGAAGGTGGTGGCAGGTGGTGACTTTGATGGAGTACTGAGATCGAGTACCAATTGCTCGACTAACTGCATTTTTTCGATCGATATTCTGATTTCCTCGATGGCGTTTGGGAACATAAACAGATATGTGGTAAATTCGTGTATGAAAAAAAATTCAAAAAAGGGTCTCCGTTGGGAACATAAACAAAATATCGATCGAAAAAACTCAATCGCGACCCCAAAACCAATTACAAAAAAGAAATTACACCCAAATTGATTGTAGCTTAGTTTAAATCCAAAATCATAGGCTTATTACCTGGATGTAGCGTTTCGAATGCCGTTTCTTGCAAAGAACCATTGATGGAGAGGGGAAGAGGATTAGGGTTTAAGAGATAATCCACCATTGATGGTGAGGGAAGAGGATTAGGGTTTAAGAGAGAATCCACCTTCATCGTGATTAAGTTTGGATATGATTTCTTGCTATGGAATTCCTAATTTCTTGCTATAAATTTGGAACTGATTGCCGATAATTTGCTATACCAATTCAAACTTCAAACGTCAATTTGGAACTGATTGTCGTAGCAAGGAATTCCATAAGCTGAAGCAGAAGGGTATTTATGGAAATTCACTTTGTTATTTGTTATTTTGAGCGGGATAAATTGATCAGAAGGGATTAATTGAATGATACGTGGCAAAATTGCTCTTATTTATTAGATTAGGGGATAATTCCCCTCTCATATCTTTCCTTTGTGATATCCTCAACATTTTGTGTGCTCATCATTTTTATTGTTTACGATTAACGTAAAACAATATAATATTTTGAATAATAAAAGTTAGTAAGCATCACATCTATGGATAAAATTAACCTTTATCCTCTGGATTTTGATGAAAAACATATATTTTCTTAAGTAAAATAATAAAACATATTTATGATATAAGTTGTATTAGTATTCATTTCTTACTAATTCAACCTATGTGTTTTATCAGTTAAACAACTTATTGGTCAAATGAGATATTTTATGTTGCCAAAGATGATGTATTTGGTGACGTATTATAGCCTGTCAATCAAAATCTTCAGTGTGTATATGGCCATTATTATGATTTAAGTAGTACTTACATAACAAACTTCTTAGTTCTAAAATCAGATATAATATTAAAATATAATTTTGAAATCATACATATAATTAAAAACATTTTAAATAATGTAAATTATAAAAATATATTAACTAAACTAACCATAATGAAATAACAGCTTTTTTTTTCTTAAACTAACCATAAAGAAATATATTATTGATAACTTACAAGCACTTATCTGATAAAAAAATATCTCTAAATAACCAACTTAGAAGCACTTTTTTCTGATAAAAATATATTTCAATACAAAATTCAAATTTCGGGAAAAGGCGTCAGGAGTTTTGAAAACAAGTCTAAAATCCGATGAATAATTCTAGAATTTCAAGAAAATACTTCGTTTTTTATTAAAATCTAACAAAAATTAATGAAACATAACAAATAGAAAGTATATACGGTACAAAGGCTTAAAATATAACATTTAACTAAAAACGGTAATATTGTCACTCTGAAATAGACATTGTGGAGATGAGTGGAGAGGCTTTTTTTGAAAAACAATTGTGCAAATGAGAAAAAAAATAAATACGTACTAAGGGATGTTTGGATAAATTAGATTATAGTTTATTAGCTTATTGCTTGTTAAGCTTATTTACGGTGAGAATAAGCAATAAACAATAAGGGGGGTGATGTTTATTAAAATCAGCTTTCTTATTCAAACACTTAAACTTAAGTTATTATGATGGGAATAAGCAACAACCAATAAACATCCTCTTTTTTCCCAATCCAAACACCCCCTAAATATTTTTGGTTAGTTGAGAATGTCATGAACAAGTCCAAAATGACTCGTCTAAGACAATGTGGTCATTTTGAAAAACACAAAAAAAACCTTGATTATTTTTGTTAAAAACCTTATTTATAATGGTTGGTTTAATCATCCCAAATATAAACAGTTTGGGTGGAATCAGGTACTTTAGTCATCCCTACATTTTCTTATGGGATTTGAGTTTTTTTGCTGTTTGCTGTGATGAATTCTTGCAGAAAAATTTCTAACATAAGTGGATGAAGCCAACATATTATTAATAGATAATGATCTATATTACCTGGCCTAAATTGACATGCACAAATCAAACTGTGAAACAAATATATATGCACTAATGACACTAATGTTTCCTTTCAGTAATACATGCCTTAAGTACTACACTTGTAAAAGATCTTCAACACTAGCTAACGGATGTAATCGATCCCAAAGAAAGAACCCATGAACTGTGTTGTTGACTTCAATCCAGCTTTTTTAACCACTCTATATCTTTCATCAACTTTCTTGTCCGATTTATATCCCCCAATTTCCCAGAAACTTTGATAAAAAAACATAAGTGGCTGAATCTTTGGTTCTAATTCAAGAAGATGTTTCGAAGAATTTCTCCCATTTATTTATTTTTATTATTACGTGTGACACAAATAGCAACATTTTAAAAATTCAATTATTGAATTTGAACCAACCAACCAAACCGTTAATTACCTAAGAGCATCTTATACGATATTTTATTGGGAGAAGACTTTTGTATAGGTACAGCACCATCATATACTCATTCTAAACGTCGTTAAAGCACATGGAAGCGCTATTAATTAGCCATATTAAAGTCCATGCTAGTTTTTATAATGCTAATTTTTTAATTATTTTAAAATTACTTAATAAACGTCAACTATATGTAAGGCGGAGAGGGTTGACTAAAAGACCTGAAGTTCTATATATTATCAAGCAACTATGTATATGCAATATTATTATACCTTTCACGCACTTCAACTTTAGTTCTTTAGAACTCTTATTCTTGTTTCCTCGTTTTGACTAAACATCAGAACAATGTCCATCCTAGAAAAGTTTAAACACCTTGAAATACAAATAGAAGCAATAGAATCAGCAACCAACAATTTTTCTGTCGACCATCTCATAGGGGAAGGGGGATTTGGTAAAGTTTACAAGGGAGAACTCCTCCTATCAAAGGGGCAGACCATAGTTGCTATAAAACGCTTAGATCGTAATATGGGGCAAGGAGACTCCGAGTTTTGGAAGGAGGTAATCATGCTTTCCATTTACAAGCACCCAAATATTGTCTCCCTATTAGGGTATTGTGATGAAAATGATGAGAAGATCCTTGTGTACGAGTTTGCATCCAATAAGAGTCTTGACTTGCATCTCGGCAACAAGGATCTAACGTGGGTTCCACGCCTCAAAATATGCATTCAGGTGGCTCGCGGACTTGCATACCTTCATAATCCTGCTGGAACCCAACAAAGAGTTTTGCATCGGGATATTAAAAGTTCTAATATCTTGTTAGATGAAAACTGGAATGCAAGGATTGCGGATCTTGGTCTATCAAAATTTGGTCCAGCTAACCAACCATACACGTTTGTTATCTCCAATAATATTGCGGGCACAATTGGGTATTGTGATCCCCAATATCTTGGGACTGGGATACTAACAAAGGAATCAGACGTGTACTCTTTTGGTGTGGTGTTGTTTGAAGTTTTGTGTGGGAGGTTGTGTTTAGGCCAAAACGATAAGAGTGAGTCGTTTAGCAATTTGGTACGCAAGCATTACAAAGCAAATACCCTAAATGAAATTATTTTTGGTGAAATAAAGGATGAAATACATCCTAGTTCTCTACACGTGTTTTCAGAAATGGCTTATCAATGTTTAAAGGGAGACATTGAAAAAAGGCCATTAATGGACAAGATGGTGACAAAACTTGAAAGTGCACTCATATATCAAGTAAGTTTTTTTTTTTTTTTTTTTTTTTTTTT